GATTCCCTCCCACTGGTAGCAGGATGCTTTATATGTAAGCACTGAATAAATGCTTGATGTTGACTTTATAAGGATTTGGTAAGAGCATTTCTCTTACCAAAAAAAAAAAAAAAAATCCAGTGTGATAAGTTCTGGGCACTCATTTTTCCATTAGGCACTTTCTCAAACAGGACTTTGAAAATGGCCTGCTGGTTGCGTCAAGCCAAAAGTCAAAGTGCTGATCAGCCCCCTAAAGACCTCGTGATGGGACGGGGTAAGAGGTGGGGATGTGGAAGGAACACAGGGGACAGGGACAGGGCTCCCTCTTCTCATTAACCAGGGGGGCCCCCAATCAAAAAACTTATCAAATAAAACACACAAAAAAACAAGATCACAACATAAATCATGTCATTAGTGGTGTATAATTATAAAGCATTTAGTTCTAGGCTGTAGTCCATAAAATGCTCTTTTATACATCATTAGAAAGGAATCTGCAGCAAAGAGCTACTCATTCCTTCCTTCAGGTTGTATAGTCACACGGTCATTTGCTTTGTTTGCTGACTTTTTCATTGCAGGCTTTTTCTGAGCAATATTAGAACAATGTGGTTTGCCTCTGGCTGTGTGTTAAGTTCTCTGATCTGTCTGGAAGATGGACAATTTTGGCAGTGTGAGGTTGAAAGGAATTAAAACACTGAGATCTACCTTACAGGGATAGTCCCTAGCTCAGGAGAGCAAGAACCTTGGTCACCCTTGCCTAGTGTCAGATTTGGCTCTTTCAAAAATGCCTAGTTAGGCACACCTGTGATCCCAGTACTTTGAGAGGCCAAGGGGGAGGACTGCTTGAGGCCAGGAGTTCAAGACCAGCCTGGGCAACATAGTGAGGTCTCATCTCTACCAAAAAAAATAAATAAATAAGAAAAATTAGTCAGCTGTGGTGGCACAACCCCAAAGTCCTGGCTACGCAGGAGGCTGAGGCAAGAGGATCACTTGAGCCCAGGAGTTAGAGGTTACAATGAGCTATGATTGTGCCACTGCATGCCAGTCAGGGTGACAGAGTGAGACCCTAGATCTAAAAAAAATATATAAAAAAAACCTCCTTGAGTTTTTCTTAATGGCTTTGAATTTAATGGATCATCTTTGCACCACCCAGCTGTAACAGCCTATTGTGCAAGTCACAGAGGGAGGACCAGTTGACCTTGAGAGGTTGGCTCTGGGGTCTGCGGACGAGCAGACAAGCATCTTTTAAATGATACTTGATGTTTAAAGTGTTGTCTTAACATAAAATGTATATTCCTATGATGATTTCTGATCCTGATTTGTTAATACATAACTGTTCATTTTCTACTTTGTAGGAGGACTTACTCTGTCCACCATTCACTTTTCTGCATTTCCACTGTGCCTAGCCGGCTCAGGCCCTGCTCCCTCAACCAGACTCCTACCCTCTCTGTGTTCCCTCCTGACACCCCCTCATTCCAGCGTTGGTTCTCCACACTCCAGCTGGAAGGATCGGTTCACAGTTCCTCTCAGGATCAAACCCTCAGGAGAGCCTGCAGGGGCGGCCCTTCCACTGGGTCGGCCTCTTGCTGCATCCGGGCTCCAGTCTTTCTGCCCTGCGCCCCACTGGCTGCTTCTCAGAGCCTCAGGCCTGTTGCTCTATGTGGGGTGATTTGCCAGCTCCCTTCCCCAGCCCAAAGTAAATTCCTTCTTCAATCTTCAGAGTTCAGCTCAAATGTCACTTCCCTGATCCCTAGACTAGATCAGTTCTTCAGTTATCCTTTCATTGCTCTTAAGTCAGCCATAGTCAAGTAATCAGCTCTACAATGCTCAACTGAAAGTCTTCTCCCTCCCTAGACCGCCCTGAGGCAGACGCTACTGTTGTTTTGCTCATATTTCCTGCACCTAGCACAGTGCTTGGAGTATGGTAAATGCTCCACAAATCCTGGAGTGTATGTTGCTGACAACAAAGACCTCTTTAGCACAGAATATTTTAGATCAAGGACAGCCAAAGTTCAACAGCATCCTAAAACCTCAGAGCGCAAGACACTGCGTCCAGAGGAAAGTGGCACTTCTCCACCTCGTGCTCACTCACCCGCAGGCCCCGTGGCTGGCGGCTGGCGGCTGGCGGCTGGCGGCTGGCGGCTGGCGGCGCTTATCTCGCCAGAACCAGCAAAGCAGCACTGGAGGAACTTGTGACTCACAGGAAGGGTGAAGGGAGAGGCCTTTACGGGAGATAAAAGGACTGTGTCCCGATGCGTGATAAAGTACAACCAAAAATATAAAAATCTTATTTTGGATGCAATGTAGACACTTTAAAAAGTGCCTAGTTGAAACAAAATAAGGAAATCAAACTAGCAAAGAAAATAACTCTTCAAAAGGCTGGACTCCATACTGACTCAGTTCATAGTCTTTGTTAATACAGTTCTGTTTCTCTTCCTGCAAAGAGCAGTTCCTGGGGCCTTACTTTGTCTCCATGTGTTTCCAAAAAACTATGGAGTCAAATAATATCTTAAGTCCTCTATTTATACCAAGACTAAGGAAGACTTTCATGAATCCATTTGCGTAGCATATAAGCATGCCCCAATTTAATACCGATGTGAACATTGATGTTCCTCAGGATTTTTCTCATTCTACGCGTCTTCCCTGGGGGCTCGCATCAAATCCCATGGCCTCAACCATTACCTCTGCTGAACCTAGTTATTTAGCACTCAGCTTCCCCAGCACATCTCCAGTGTCCCCGGTCTAACTCGGCTTCCGAGGGCGACACTGACTCAGGAGGCCCTAAGGAACGTGCAGGGCAGCCTCCCCAGTCCTACCGTGCACATGCAGGTGGGCGAGGGCCCCAGGGCGGCTGCAGCAAGCCCTTCAAGGCTTAGAACCTGCTGGCAAGCAGAAGTGTTGCCTTCTGCGAGCATTAGCTGTTGGTGGGTGTGGCTAGGGTGGCAAAGGCAGCAAGCTGCAGTTCTGCGTTCCTCCAACATGGGCAGGTGGTGGAGACACTGAACCCCAGGAGTCTTTGAGACAGCAGCCGTGGGAGCCTAGTCCAGCCACTGTCGAGCAGGTCTCATTTGTAGCCTTTCATTGATTATTCGGTGTTTCAGGAGCAACCTTGATGGGCGTTCATGTCATCTTCTTCCCTGTCCTTGAACTTGAGCCAGACTCTGGTTTCTAACATAGTTCTTCCTAGCCCTTCTATGTATAGATTTTAATAATAATAAAAATAGTGAACATTTTACTTTTACGCTGACCCAGGCACTGTGCTAAGCCCTTTTTATGCCTTTTCCTATTCTTTCTCTCACAATACCCTATGTTCTGTGGTGTTTAATGTGGCTCCCACAGGCTGTGGGATCAAGTTCCAAGTCCTCTTCACAGAAAAATGAAGCTTTCCGTGCTTTCTCACCAGCCTCCCCACCCCACCTTTGTTCCAGCCTCACTGTCCCCCTGGAAGCCAGCCCTATGCCCCATCCCCACACTTTGCCTGGCTGGCTCCGCTCGTCACAGCATGAGTTCATGCCTCCCCTCTCTGGAGAGCCTCCCTAAACTCAGCACCCTGCAAGCGGCAGCGCTCGGCCATGCTGACCAGCTGCATGACAAGCCTCTTCCCACACTAGAGCAGGTTTCTGGAAAGGCTGGACCAGGTGTTACATTTCTTGGTATCTCCCCATGCCTGGCATAGTAGCCGTTGAACAGTGAACGAGTGAATAGACAGCGTTTTGTGAAGTGGAGTCGGAACTTGACTGAGGGTTGAAGATGAGCCCCAAGCAAACTGCTCTGCACACAGCGCTCCTGGGTGCCCCCCTGCCCTCCCCAGCAACATCTGCACGTTTACATGTTAAACACCTCTGCACAAATAACTGCAAGGAATCCTATCCCTCTTCCTTCTCCAATTTCCCAGCAATTCTGAAGAATCTGTAATAGGAATAGATGATGTCTGGTCTATTTAAAATAAAATAACCCTGTTATTTTAACCAAGTTATTATGTTCCTGAACTAAGATTCAAAGGAAATTGATGTTTTCAGAGTCTAATTTAATTGAGACTATATGAAATAACTTCAACTCCATACAACAGAAAGTTTCTTTTATTCTCTAGAAAATATTTCTTTTACTGAATAATCTTTTTGCTGTCTTAAAAAAAATGATGGCAAATAATATGAAGTTCTTCTAAACAGTCTAACTTACTTCAGTGATGTGGATATGTATACTCTAAAAACATGCATTGAACCAATTCAACAGTTTAAAAAGGCTAAACATGCATTTCAAAAGTTCAGAAGTATGCCTGCCTGTGAAAACTGCAAAGGAAGAAAACACCATGCCATCTGAGGACTTCTTCAGTGCTGATTATTCATCCTGTCACAGACCGAAGTTCCCTTCATGCCTGAACTTGTGGGTCCCCTCTGCCTGTAGGGTATGTCCCTGGTCAGGTCTGGGCCTGGCTGCTTCCTCCCCGTCCTTTAAATCTCAGCTTGGAGAGCACCTTGTCCCAGGTGCTTCCCTTGGCTACTGCTCTACCTCTTTACTCATCACCCCTCCGCGCCCCCTACCCCGCCCCAGAAAGCACGGTACTTATTACTTGTTAGGCATTTGCTGCCTGCATCCCCCTTTCGGCCATGGGTTGGCACGATGGTGAGCCCGCACCTGTCTTGCTCGCTGATGTAGCCCAGCACCCGGGACAGGGTGTGGGGAAGGCGCTGAAGAGCTGGAGATGAAGGAATTCACACCAGTGCCCTACATATGCCTGTCCGTTTCTCCTTCAGGGCTCTTACAAAGTGGCTTCCAGCTGGAATGCAACGAGGTCCCTTTCTCAACCTCCCTCTGTGTGAGTAGGTGTCAAACTAGCAAGCAGAATGGCATGATCAGACCAAAATTTGTGATCTCTTTTCCTTATAAAAAAAATCACCAGTTTTATTCAGGAATAAATGCAAAAGCTACCATTTGCATGCCATGTTATCCCAAAAGGGAAATTCTTGGATTTGAAGATGTTAATGGAGTGTCCACTATGCTAAGATTCAGTTTCTATATTTCAGATTAATCCAAAAGGGGGATGCAAAGTTGACCTGGTGTTTAGCACAGAGCGCTACAACTCAGAGGTAAGCAGCCACAATTAGTGAAGTATCCTATTAGCAATTCCTATGAATATGTTTTTAAAAACAAAGGGAGAATCTTAATATATAGTGACCTGGAGGTTTTGTTTTGTTTTTTTTCTTGCTTCATTTTCTATTTGTTCTCAAGAATTGAAGATCAGAACTAGGCAGGAGCTCAAGATTTAACTACTTCAACTTCCTGGTCTTTTGCAGGTTTGCATTCGAAACAATCCACGTAGCCATCATCTGATCCTTCCACAGGCCCCTGAGAGAGAATTTCACAACTCTCTCTAGTATCACCGCTAGCACCTCAGAGTCCTGAGGATGACTCATTTTCAAATGCCGACCTATCCCTTTTCCTGTCAGCTGGTGACATTTCTGGTTGGCAGGCCAGCACAGCATGAGACCAGCTCCGTGAGTTTACGTACATAAAGGCATTCTGTAAAACACAGAGCACTACCAATATGTGCCACGGGCATTATTAGTCCCTCATCACAGTCCTGACCAAGCAGACCATGTCTTGCCAACCTTCCTTTTCCCTGTTTTCAAGAAGAGAGTGAAAAGAAAACTTACATAGAAATTAGAGCCAGATGAACTTCCATGTGCTGGGCCAGCAACCAGAGCATGGGCAGAGAGGAGACCAATCCAAATTCCCTTTGTGTTGTGCTGAGAAGCAGCCTGAGATGGGCAGACAGCGTCCAGGATTAAAGTGTTTCAGGGTGGCAGAGCTTCGGAGGCGAAGACATGACTCCCCTAATCCCAGGCTTCCAGAAGAATGCTTGCCGGTATTCAGAAACAAGTTCTAATGTGACAACAATATACTCTTTGTTTATTAAGCTAAGAATTAAATTTTTCTTAAAGCATAAGGAAGATGCCTTTGATTTCTAGTGTTGCAAAGTGTTAGATTAGAGCTAAAGAGAAAACAATTACTAGATTATTTTGACCAACAATATGCTTCTCTGGATTTGATCTGTAGATACATTAAGAGCACAGCTAGCTAATTGAAATGTTCCATTTCAGAGGGTGAAGGAGAGTTCTTTTATTACATCTTCAGGAAATTGCTTTGATTCCGTGGAGCTGTTTTGGAGGAAAAAAAGAAAGGAAAACAAATGAGGGAAATACCTGGTTCTTTTTCTCTTCCCTGGAAATGGCTTCAACATCAAAGGAGACTGTACAAGTTAACTTCTGCCTTTTGATATGCCTTTTCCTGGGTGCTCCCTTCACCTGTTTTCATTCATTCATTCATTCATTTTTTGAGACAGGGTCTTGCTCTGTCTCCTGGGCTGGAGTACAGTGGCATCGTCATAGCTCACTGCAGCTTCAAACTCTTGGGCTCAAGTGATCCTCACACCTCAGCCTCCCAAGTAGCTGGGACTACAGGAACACGCCATCAACCTGGCTAATTTTTTTTTTGTAGAGATGAGGACTCACTTCGTTGCCCAGGCTGGTCTCAAACCCCTGGCCTGAAGTGATCTTCCTGCCTCAGCCTCCCAAAGTGCTGGGATTACAGGTGTGAGCCACCACCCCCAACCCCTTTACCTTTTTTCTATATTGCATCAAAAATTAGCAAATAATTAAATTTGCCACTGAAATTACCTCTCACTCAAAGCTAGTACTTACAGATGGAAAAGTTGCCAACTGGAAATCACTTTTCAGTTTTTTTTAGTTCTAGAAATAGGCTTATTAAACAGATCCAATTTTGATTACAACTTGTTTCCCTGTGGGCTTTTTCTAAGTTTATTTTTTGTGATTGTTTTAACTGGGACTCCATCCAGTTTAAACAACTGCAGAAGTGGAAAGGTTATTGCCTCAACTGCTCAACTGACCACAGTGCAACAGGAGTTCTCGACTCAGGCCCATGGATGGGTTTGCGTGGCGCCATGACTCACTAGTCATGGGCCCAGAATGGCCCATGAACTTCCTCAAATTCTAGGCCCAGAGTTGAAGGTATGAGTGTATGTGCATTTTTCTGGGCGTAGGTTCCCTGGCTTTTATTGTCAGGTTAAGGAATCTGTGACACAAAAGGTCACGGGCATAGGAATGAGCCATACAGCTAATGTCTATTTGAAGCTCCAAATGTCTCTGGATTGTAAAGTAAGCGAGGGTGAACCCACAACACCCAGTATATCTACATTTAAATATGAATGCAAATAAACATAACTCAGATAGTTGAGTTAGTCCCATTAGGCGTGCCTTCCACTTCTGGACCAGATCTCGGAGTACAGAGGTGGAGTTAGTACAGAGAGGCTGGGCTTTGTTGTCAGACAGACGTGAGCTCAAGTCCTGGCTTACCACTAACTACCTGCGAGATATGAGTAGGTTCCTCTTTAAATTTTAGTATCTTAATATTTAAAATTGAAATAACATCTAATTCACAAGGCAGCATGAAGACACTGTTATTTTTATTAATAGGAGCTAGCTTCATCTTTTGGTTCAAGTTAGTAACCTGGAGGTCCAACTAAGCATTATGTTAGTCCACATTAGAGAGTAAAGTTTCCACTGTCCTAGAGGTTTGAGCCAAGAAGTGCTCAAAGGACATCAATGATATGTCTTTGGAATAGGCCCAGCCTCATTTTATTATATAAGGGTATGGTCAGAAGGCAGGAGTTTAAAATGACAGCAAAAAGTGAAGGATTGTTGTATTCAGCTGTGAGCACAAAAATCACTTTCTATAAAGCAAAAACCACTACCTCTGTTGATAGCAGAGAACATGAACAAAGAACGCTTCTCAACCTTGTGATTGTGTACATTGGGGTGGGTAAGGGGTGATAAGAAACCATCCAGTTTAATCCTGTTTAATTCCAAAATCTTTACTTTAGGAAGGTGAGGAACATTTGGGGAAATGTTCTGCTCGAGTGTTTTTCAAGAATCAGAAACCCAGACCAGCCATTAATGTAACTTGTACGCGGTTCCTTGAGAAACAGAAACGACAACAAGAGGATTACCTGCTTTACAAGCAAATGAAGCAACTTAAACTCCCCTTGGATGTAGTCAGCATACCTGGTATGAATCAGTATCTAGAATTTCTATCTTCAGGAATGTATGTAATTACTAAATCTGAAAAAGAACGATCATTTATCCCTAAAGTGGCACTTTAATTCAACTATAGATTGTGGTATGCAAACAAAACTAAGAGGGATCATTTTCTTGTTCTTCATTTCTAGTACAATATAGTAATGCCACCAAAAGCTATCTGTGTCCCTTCAATCTCCCGGTTTCCCACCCCAGAATGAGGAGCACAGGAGCTGAACCTCCAAGTAAGAAGTAAAAAGGTCTTCACGATGGGACATGCACATTTTTCAGTGTTGAGTCCAGAGCTTGAGATCACATTTCTATTTTTGGTGGTGGCTTTGGAAACTTTAGACAACGAGACACCCTCCACTCTGCCCATCACAGCCTATACACCAGGGCTGGGGGAGCCAACCGCCTTGGGCCCTTCTGGGTTACAGTGGAGCCATGTCGATCTCATCTCAGGTCAACGGCTAATGGGCAGTGGTGGCGTCTCTAAGAAATGGGCCCTGCCGGACTTGGGGGGTATGGGGGGCAAGGGCAACATACGTAACCTAAACATTTGTACCCCCATAATATGCTGAAATAATAAAAAAAAAAAGATACAAAAAAAAAAAAGAAATGGGCCCTGCCCTCTGAAGTGACTCAGCTGAAGTGAGCTCATTTTTTCTGGCACTGATCAGAGTGTGTGGGCAGCAGTTGAGACTCAGCACATTTACTGGAAAATCCAATTTTCAAAACCACAAAAGTCATCTCTGGACTTGCACTTGGATATTAAGCTTGACATCTGACCACCACGGCACTGCTCACCGCACACTCTCTCACAGCTCACTCATTCGCCCAGGTACATGGCAATGCCATGTCAACACCAGAGGACCTGTGCTCTCCAATCTTGAGTGTTTCTGTCCTCCGTCAATTTGAGACCAAGTGCTCTTAAAAACCTGGAGCTCCTTGCCTTTCTAAAATTCCAAGCCTTGGATGATTCTCATGTAATAGTTCTCTGACAACTGGAATCAAATCCTGTGCCAAAGAATTATGAAGAACAATTTGAAATCTCATGTTGTAGAAGAATTTGTTTATACTTAGTACTGCTT